AATTGGCCCAAAGATTTAATTCCCAGTGATTGAGCAGACAGCCAGCCAGCCAGCCAACCAGCGAATCAAGCCGAAACGAAATGGTCAAATGATTCTAAAACAAAGACAATTCTTAACCATTTAGTTGAACTTGTAAATGGTAATTGTTCAGCAGGTGATTCAGCAAGTGCTTTGCTATTGGATGGATTGGATGGATCCACTCGAATGTACGAGGAAATTCGCACAGGTGCTGAAAGGTCCAGCAATACACGAAGTAGTGGCTTTAAGTTGAGTAAATTTTAAACTTAAATATTGAAAATTTGAATTAAATGAATTTGGCATTCAAAATTGCTGCAGCAAGTGCTGCTCAAAATCAGAAATGGCTCGAATGGAAACCCATAAAAGATCAATTATATTGCAACTATTTGACCACAAAATAGCTGAAGGTCAAGGGAAATTGAACACGCAATCGAATTCGAATTAGCATTAGCATCGATAGATTCTTCAATAATCAACGCATTCGAATGGCGATTTCAATATCTGTTCGTGATGTTCTTCCTGATCTAATGTATATTATTGGCTTTGCCCCGCATGTGCCATATAGAAATAGATAAATGTGTGTATATATTCCGATGTAGTAGATAAATTTCTCGGCATGACGTAAGCGCTCACGAATCGTCTGCCTGCGATTTTCCTGCGATTTCTGTCCACGCATAAATTTCTTTCAATTTGGTTCCGTTCTAATCTTTTGTCTTTTATTTTTTTTTCGTATTTTTTATTGCCATTGTTCGCGGCGGACACGTTGTTTCCAAGAACTTTCTCACGATTTTCGGAATGGATTAGATGGAAGATGTACCGCACCGTACCGTACCGATCCCCGTACAGTCCCCTTTATCGTACCGCACCGAACTGCACTGCACTGGGACCACACTGATCGTACGAGATCGAGCGGGGGGGATATCCGCAGAGGGTATCCCCACAGAACCAACCAGAAAAAAAGATGAGATGAGGACCACCTAACCACCACCTCGACGAGCCGAACGCATTAACGGAAACTACTGAAATGTGAAGAGCATCGCAAAATATCTTGAAGCGCCTCGCCGGAGTCGATTCCTGATCTCGCACACACACACCACACACACACTTAGAGAAACGGTCACACTCGAACACACAGCAGCACAGAAGCACAGCACAGCACAGCACAAACGGGCACACTCACACCCCAATCCCATTTCGAAGTCCATGTCTCTGCGGTCTGTTGTATGTGTGTGAGAGAGACTCTGTCGGAGGCTAACTTCGCCGATGATGACAGACAGAGGCAGCATCAGAAGCAGCATCATCTGAGGTGTGTGGTGTGTCTATATGGGTGTTGAGGCATAGGCAGAGGCACAGGCCCAGATCATCGTCTTCTTCGGCAGCTATATCTCTGCTGCTCTCCCCGCACACACACACCGCACACCGCACACCACACACCACACACCACACATCACACACCACCAGTGACCGTGTGCCTGCCAATTTCGAAATATGCCCCTCAACGGCACAAACACACAGCCATAAATTATACACGAAGGCGAGCATTTTCGAATTTCGAAAAACATCAAAATTATTTTTGAGTTTTGTTTTGATAGAAATTTTTGTTCCCAGTTTTTGCACAGCGAAAGTAAAAGCGAAAGAGCACAGAGCCTCCTAGACGAGAGAGAGAGAGAGAGAGAGAGCGAGAGTAAGGAGAGCCGCAGAGAGCTCAATGCGGGAGACGCCAAAGAGATCTTAGTGTGGGAGAACAGAGCAGTAAGCCCCCAAGGGGGAGAAGCTGTCAGAAATCGTGTGAATAATTAGCTAAAACATATGTAAATATGTATTCAACGCGTTGATCCTCCCCACTAAATGTGTTGACTGATGATTGGAGCTGTCGGACGTTGCCGGCACAATAGGAAGTACGAAATCCACCATAGATCTTTGTCCAGCTACTTTCACGGCCGGCAAGAAATTATGCCCCTAGTGCGCGAGTAGTACCATCCTTTTTGATGGGCGTTAAGCGATCCAAGTACATCATCAACCGATCATCAATCTACTTGTTTATGGCACCTGCTGTGAAGATGTTTTGCTAAATTTGTCCATCCCCCAACAAGAGCAAAATAGACCAAAACGGAAAACAAGTAAGAACGATTTCGAACGATGAGTACGCCGACTATGAGATACCCCCTAATGATTATGGTTATCTGCTCTACATACATATGTTTGATCATTTTGAAAGTTTTATGCAGAAATCAGCATTTAGCAATTATTTACGTATCCATTGTTTATTAATCATTTCATATTTTAGGCTAAGTAATTGATAATAGTAAAGAATAAGATACGAGTATTTATGAAAAGATCGGCAGTAGATGGATGGATAGGCCATGAGGCCAGGATATCTGTACTTTATGGGGTTGTTGCCTGTTGCATAGATCTACCCTTACATCAGACGATTACGAAGTATGACAAATGCCAGAAATGCCGCACGTAGGATGGCGGCGATGTTCGACCAATGCTGAGGCTAATGGTGACGCTTTTTGGTTCCGCAAAATACACTCACAGTCGTGGGGCGACGCGAGTGCCGACATGGGGAGACGGTACATCATGGGTGACAGTGGGAAAGCGCCAAGCCACTAGAAATAGAACTGCAACATGCACCGCAAGTATTTATTCTACGAGTGCTCTGTCTGTTTGTTGCTGTTGCTGTTGCCGCTGCCGTTGCCGTCCCAGCACTTAATCTTTGCGATTTATAGTCGCAAAAGTGGGAAGAGGCAGCGAGCTGGCTTGGGGATATTTTTATGGGATATTTTTGCGCCTGCATTCCTGTCATGTCGGACGCTGCACTCGCCGTGCCCAGAACTCTGAAGAACATTTGTTTGCATCGCTTGCCAGGGTATGCCACTGGGGCATGCACTAGATGCCATAGCGGTTGTTGAAGAGCCCTGCGGCCAGGGCATCCCAGACTGCCTAGGACGGTTCCAGGCCTCAGAGTCGTCGCTCTGCAGTAGATGGGCTCCGGATTCCCAACTGGCATTCGGTGCAGCAGAGCAGGGGACCAGTCGAGACTCCATTCCATAAGCATAATGGTTAATTACAGGGCATCCCAGTTGTCGGTCTTTTTGTGGTACGAGTAGTTTCTCGCTCTTGCATTCCTCCTGTCACTGTTATTTCTGTGCTGCTCGCTTCGCCATGTTTCTTTTTTGGGCTTCCTCTGTGTTGGCAAAGTCGCAATAAATTGATTTCTAATGCAGTCCGCCTATCTGTCCGTTCATCTGCTATATAAAGCGTTCTCAGATTAATTGGGTTTTGGGCGTTACGATCATTTCCGCCTCGATCACGCACAGCAAGTGAAAGTCTCTACAAAAAGCGGCGAAAAAGTTGCAATTACTCGTATCCGTACATTGTGCGAGTATTTATACATTGCGCTAATTTCGGTTGATATATGTATGTGCATACATACATATGTACATGCATAAATATGTGTGTATATTACTCGTCGTGCCACACACTAAAATAATTGTTTTCATAGATATATTCTTGGCTCTCTCTCTCTTGCCTTCTTGCAATTCCAAATACAAACGGCTTCCGTTTGCTCGATAAACAAGGCTGATTGTTTGTAGCATCCCTTCTCAAAATTGTCGAAATTGGTTTGGCTTTCAGCTCGAATTGGTCACAACAGGAAGACATTCGCTGACACATTTAAGGTGTTTTGTGCCCGGGAGTACAATTTATTCAATTTATAAATACACTCGTAAAGTGGGCCGCATTAATTAATTGCCAACGAAGGTAGTCCATAAACGAAATGTGAAAATACCATGTACATCTGTACACATTATACAAGTATACTCGTCTTATTCTGGAGCAATACATTTTTTACGAGTGTATAAAGATTTCCGCGCTGAGGAAAAGCGGTGCATAGTATAATATCAAATTGATATTGCAAATAGTTTTGGAATAAACGATTAGGGTCCTTGTTTTACTGAAGGTTTAAACATAGCTTTCGTGGTCAAGAGCATAAATATACCATTCTAAGCTTAGATCGGTTTTTATATATTTCTTAATGTTGAATTCAGAAAGTCCTGCAACGATTGAGCTGAAATTTTGACATATCAAAAAATTCTGCCCCAGGATGGTTATGCTTCTCAAACACAGGAGCAGAATAAATCTTCGAGCACAACACGGGGTGAAGAAGGAAAGATATTATTCGACGCGCAAGAAGAAAGGCATGAAGAATGATTTGTATTGTTCAATTGAACACGCCTCGCATCCTTTCGTTCTTATTAATCAAAAAGGGAAACAGACTAAGCTGGGTTCAGCAATAGAGAAGGATCGAGGATACGGCTTTCCAATATCACTAAGGAAGAACAGAGGCGAGAACGGAAGAAAATCACAATGAAGATGGCGGGAGCGGAAACGAAAAATTGTGTGTTTCCGTTTCGGCAAAGCAAAAAGTATTCTATACCCACAATTTTGCGAATGAAACTTATTTGAAAGGTTCCTCTTTTCTTAACGGTACAAGCACAATGTGCGCCGTAGCAGGATACAGCTAGTATATTATAAATGTATTTATATTCGAGGAAAATCTTCATAGCGATTCAGATAATTATTTCCGATTTGATGATTTTCTACCTAGTATTTTTCAATGTAGATAAGCGTATTAGCTTTACAGGACATAGCTGTTGTTCTCAAATGTAGTTAGGTATTTCCCATTATCGACCCACTGAATCCCAGTAATTCGAAAGCTTTCTTTTCTGACCGTTACGTTTCAGTGAAAGTCAGCGAATGCTTTAAGCACTAACCGATGGAATGTCCGCGAAAGCTCCCAAGAATACTTCTCGCACAGATGGCGCCACCCGGTAAAAGCTCGAGCAACCAATAAATCGCAAAAGGATTGAGTAAAATGTAAATATTTATATAAAATAAGATGCTCGACATATGTATACAATTTGTACATAGAATCAGAGAATCTGGAGGGGATTCGGTTGGCATTCGTATGGACTCACCCTCGCACTTGAGACCCTGGATGAAGAAGCCGCCCATCAGTGAACCGCAGTGATCGCAAAATGTCGGCGACATGAATGTGTGCGGCTTGAACCGATGCGGCATATCGATCTTGAAGCGTTCGCGGAGCAGCTAGATGGTGGAAGGAAGGAGAGCTCTGATTAGGCCTGCGGATTCTTGTGGCATGGGTGGACCTACAATAGTGCTGGCTGAGGTGAAGACGGAACCAGAGCACTTGCCCAACAGCTTCTCATGGCACTTCTTGTGGACGACCGTCTGGCAGACTGCGGATACGAGAGAAGTTACTTAATATGCCGAAGGACAATGCCGGACTGGCACTCACTGATGCACTGATATCCCTGCTTGCCAAAGCCCCAAAGGAACAGATTGCAGAATGCACAAAAGGTGGGCTGACGAAAGAATTTTGCCACGAATCGATGGCCATTGATATCATGGGTTCTGTAAAGATATAAAATAATGAGTTGGTTTATAGGGCATCTATGGGATCGTAATGAAGCTCACTTCTGATGCTTGATGGCTCCCCGCCGATTGGTGATGCTCCTTGGTCGCGTCCGTCTGTCCACGTAGACTGCACCACCTGTGACCCCGCCGGCGGCAACGGCACAGCCACCGGCTCCAGCACTGCCACAGCCACTGGTGCCGCTGTCCCGATCCCTGTCACGGTGATAGCCCTCCTCCTTGGAGTGCTGGCGTGGTAGCTCGAAGGAATGCTGCTTGCCATAGTGATCTCTGTCCCTGTCCCGATCGCGTCGTGCCCCACCTGTGGCACTGCTGCCACTCATCCCACTGCCGGCTCCACTGCTGCTGGTCGAGCTCAGCTTAAAGCGGGTCTGAGGAGGAGACAAGGGAAGAGATATGGAGTTAGTTTGAGTGAAATAAGGCTCATTAGTAAATTGCTATGGCAGACACTTGTCCCTCGAGCCTTGACTTTTCTCACCTCATGATTTTGGAGTCCCTGATGTCGCGAGGATCCCCCAGAGCTGCGTGGTCGCTGGCTGCTCGTGTTGGTTGTCTTCTGCTTGCGCACCTGGGCGCGTGTGAACATCATCTTGTGGTCTTCCAATACCCATCCACATCCACATTCGAAATGCTCCCGATTTTTTGTGGCGTACAGGTACAGGTGAAGGTGGAGGTGGAGGTGTGGTTTGTGCTCTCTTATATGTTCGTTCGGGTTTATGGCGAGTACAAGGCGTTTTTCCTATATTTATATTAAACAAACAGCTCGCCTTCTCTTTTCAGTCAGCTGTATTTTATATCTTGTTCTTGTTGCTGCCGTTGCTGTTTCTGTGCTGGCATCTTTGCCAGTTTAAAGCCTTGTTGATGGATATCTGAAACAAAAACACGAAAACAACATCGAATATCAAAAGAATATACAATTTTGCACAAATTTTGTTGAATTCGGCGCACTGGATCATGCCTTGGGGCCGGCATGGCTACCGCTCAAGCGGAGCAATCGAATATAACTAACTATTTATATACTCGTACATACAGCAGCGGACAGTGAAATGTGGACACTCTTTTTAACTAACTTTAAACTGCTCGTGCGTATTTAAAGTCTTAAAAGCACCAAACTAGGAATTAGTAAGTGTTCTTTGAACAATTCTGTGAAGACCTGCTCCCCTCTCCAGAAAGTAAGAGGAAGACCAGCCCAAAGATCCATAAGACGCTTGAGCATCGAAAATCAGTTCAAAATGGCATACAATATTAGCAGGGAGCTGGCACAGTCAGTAGGTACCGATACTAGCTTCAGAAAAGGCGCCAATGGTCCAAAGTAAACAAAACTTGCACTGTAAATGACTAGAGAAACGTTTTTAATAGTTTTAATGGATCCACTGGCTGATTGGGACAGTATAACGACTGATCGCGGGAAAGTCAGAGTACGCTATAAAAGTTAGGGCTTAAAACCAACGGTGTGGCAAGGAGGCAGCATGATGGTTTGGGGATGTCTGGCTAATTGACGGTTGGGTAAACGCAGTCACGTCCAAAACTATTTTAGAGGAGCAATTTCCCCATACTGACGCTGTCATCTTCTAGGACGATTCTGTTCCTTGCCATCGTGCAAGATTGGTCGGGAATATTTTGTTCAACTTATTTATTGTATTGTGAATTAATTTATTTAAGAAGTTTGATTTGTATTTGTTTGTACAAGTATCTCATGTCCAAATTCCCCCGAGTTTTCTCCGCCTTCTCAATCTGGATCTCCAACCTCAAGAGAATTGTGTCACGTTTGCACACGTAAAAGAAATAGGATGGGGGAGACACTCAAGCGATAAATGCGTAATCTAGGTTATTTTTATTTATTTTTTGAATCCTGATTTGTAATGGTTATGTACTCATTTTGATTATCATTTGATGAACTTTTATTTAAAACAGCGGGAATTTAGTGAGCTGTGGCAAAGGCGGAGCTCTACGCTTAGGAACCACAACCCCTAGTTTTGTTCGCATGTTAATTCTTGGACACCATTTATCCTCTCTCCACCTATTAAATTATTTGATTCGAGTTTAAACTATTTGATTTCTTTCCATTTTTTCGCTACTGTTTTGTATTCCGTTATATCTGTCCCTCTCTCTCTACCTACGCTAACACCAACAGTTATGTCGCGCTTCCCTCGGCCATAGAGCCACACTGCACGAGGAAGAGCGTTTGTGTGTGAGAGAGAGAAAATGAGTAAGCGCGTGGAAGGGGGATAATAATGATCTTTTATGGTGCTTTTATAGTCTCTGAGATCCAGGCATTCATCAAGAAGGACGGACGGACAGACAGATAGACATAGCTATATCGACTCGGCTATTGATGCTGATTTGGAATATATATACTTTATGGTGTCGGAAAGGCTTCCTTCTGGGTGTTACACACATCCAAATCCACCACAAATATATCCCTAGGCGCTTCGAGTGCCGGGTATAAAAATGGGGTTTTTCCACTCTATCAAAGTTATCTTCTCATTTTGTAAAAATCACACAATGTGTGATTACCCGCTCAAATTACCCTCTGGGTTTTTTCTTCCCGCTTGAATTTTTTTTGTTTATTAACTCTTTTTTTTTTAAGTTCATTGTTGCTTGCGGAATGCGAATGTGATGCGAGGGATTTCTCTTGAAGAGGTCTCTAGTTTCGAGTTTTGCTCAAAGTTTTGTTTAAATTTGATTCATAATTTGAAATTCGATTGAGTCCAGTCTCATACTGATGCAAGTGAAAAAAAACCTTTGAAGGCGGGTTTGGAAGCTTAATGGTTTAAAATACATTTTAATGCCACAGGCTTAAACTTTTTCTAAGCGGGTGTTAATTTCCTTTCCCGGAAAACGTTCAGATAATTGATGGATGTTTAATCTTTAATCTTTTGTGACTTTCTCACAAAAAATTGGCTTTTTTGTGGAATTTTCGACAATAGGATAGAATTTTCATAGAAGTTCTAAAAGTACCGAATGAAATCTTAGTTTTTCCTAAGTTTTTTTTTCTTCCTACTCTGCTCTCTTGCCGTTTAATATTTTTTGCCTAACGTTAATTTAAATCTGCATACTTGGAATTAAATGACAGCTAATGGAATACGACCATGTCTCTCATTTTATCTTTCCTTCAAAACGGATAGATGTCAATTTCCTGATGTTTTTCCCTTTTCCTGGGGTTTTTCCTTTGTTTGGATTTGATTCGATATTTCTGTGGGTTTTTCTGGGAAGTTTATTGTAGAGTCCAATAACAGAATCATTATCGGTTCGAGTGTTTTTACATTTTCTCGTAAATACACACAAAATGCTGATTGCTGAATGCTGTGCAGGGAATCCACTGGCAAACGTTTAAAAATATGAATTTGGCTCTTGCTGGTATTGCCTTTGACGCGCCACCAAAAATAAGTTCTTGATTCATTTAAAAATTTGCTGTGAATGCTTCGACTACCCCCTTATCCCAGCCTCAGCCCCAGCCCCAGGCCCGTCCTCGTGCCCGTCCCCGTCCCCGTCCGCCTCTTCGCATTGCTTCTCCTTCCATGCCCGATTGTTGTTGTTAATGTTATTAAAAATAGAAATTAAGTGGCAAATTGTGCGAGATTGCGTGCCAATTGATTGCCGGATATGATCCAAACACCAACACGATGTGCCAAAAGAACAGCCAACCCCTACAAAAAACAAAAGCAAAAAAACCCGCGAGCCCGGCCTTGTCTTGGGGTTGAGGTTCGACGATGCCTCAGTTCTTAAGTTCCAAAGCCGTAACCAGATCTTTTGTGTTTGATTGCAGCTTAAGTTTGTTCTGAACAACGGATGATTGATACACATTGAAAACTTATGCCATTTTTCGACCAGAAGATTAAGTTTATTCTTGCTCTTTTTATCGATTTTGATTATCGGTTTTGATTAGACATTAGATATTATTTGATATTGTTAGATGACCTTCAAACTCGAACTCTACTTCAACTAATCCCAACTTATGTATCGATGAAGGCTCCTTCCTATTGGAGTGCAGATTGTATTATTTATATTTAGACATTTAAAATTGTATAAAATTGTTGTAGGAACATGCATACATATGTTCTTGACTTTAGCTTATTCAGAAAAGATATAAAAGCCTTGAATTGATCATTCATCAGAAGTCTTCCCCATAAATGCGTAAACAGTTTGAGAGTAGGAAAGCATAAATTATCAATGAGAAATCGAACCCATCAATTAAGAACGGATCATAGATTTTTTCAGAAAAATCTTCATTCAAATGCTGATCATGCTCTTTTTCAGGTTCTTTTTTTTTTTGTCTGTGATCAGTGCCTGGTGTGATGGAGTGTTGGAATTTGAATGCGAATACAAATATCTCAACTCACGTGGTCTTTTTTCTTAATCAACTGATTTCCAACCGATCCGAAGATCCATTTTTCAGCTTTTTCGTTGCTTCCACTGCTGCTGGTTCATGGGTACTTGCCGAGTGTGCCATCAGAAATGACACGTAGTTTACATGAAGCGTTTTGATCCCCCGATTTCAAGTTCACCGATTGATCACTGATTGATTTGAGGCGCCAAAGGAGAGCCCGGACTTTTAGCACGTGTCCCGCTATTCGAACAACAACAAGCACACACACACACACACAGAGAAAAACACAGTAATATAAGGTGAATTGGTAAATAAGAAACAATTGTGTCGATGGGGAGGAAGGGTCGAGTGAGGAGGAGCGGTGAAGGAGAGGGGAGGTGGAGGGGGCATTGGTAGAAAATGGGAAATTGGATGGTGAATTTTTCGGATTTCGGGTGCTGCGCCCATTATATTGGATACTGGACCACTGGACCACTGGACTGGGGGTCTCTTCTATAAACACATTCCGCATTGGTACACACAATAATAAATATTTCGTAGTGAAATGCTTTTGTTTTAATGCCCCGAAAAACACAGCGAAAATTGACTGTATGATTGTGCGGTCTCTTTCTCTTTCTTTTTCCTTTTCTTTTTTTTCATCTTTATTTCGTTCTTTCTCTATCTCTGGATTTTACTATATAGATGTCCATACATATATATATATATATGTATATATATCTTTGGATATATGTATGTACATATATATATATATGCCAGAAGTGACGTCATATTGTCCATGCAAAAGTCAGCCCCCAGCCAGGTGGACAGGTACTGGGACATCTTTTCATTTCATATACCATCTCCACTCTTGGGGATCGCTCACACTTTTACTTGAAGAAGCCTTCTTACACTTTTGTGTACACTTTCATGACACGCACTTTCACTTGAGTGCAATACGTATACGCCACGTTGCAGCATTCGGTTTGTTATGCTATTGTACTGCCCCACGGACACCACACACGAAGTCGCGAAGTCGCGACAACAAATGTGTATATATACTTTCGTGCGGATCGACCACGAACGAGAAGGCAGACAACGAAATCAACGGGATATATATATAGATATATGTATAAGAAACACACGAAAAGAGACAACGTGGAACAATGCGAACAAGCGGAAAATATAGAAGGATTTGAAGTGAATATCTTTTCAGCCGAGCCGAGTATCTGCCAGATAGAACAGAATAGAAGCCAACGTGAATTCTTCCGCTCCGTTTGCCCGCTGCGTTCGCACGGGATCACACAGCATCCGTATCTGAAAGTGATATACCAAAGCTCCATCTCAGCCCCGTTCCTGTATTTGTATCTGTATCTGTATCTGTGCCTGTATCTGCACCTGCATTTGTGTCTGTGTCTGTATCCGTGCACAGAGATATCTTTGGAGAGACAGCGAGAGAGCGGAACGCACTTGGCTCTCGTTTCTGTTATTTTTTGTTTTCGACGCCTTCATATCTGTTGATGTGGATGTGGATGCTGCTCTTCCAAATAGAACATACTCGCACATTCGATTATATGTATGGGTGTGTGTATGTTTTTTCTTTATATGCAGGGCTTGCCATCATGTACTGTATTCCATATTATTTTCTTGATATTTGTGCCTATATTGTTTTGTTTTCTTGCCCCATGCTGAATACTTACACACGAAGGGGGAGAGAATGCCAAAGCCGAAAGCTCCATTGCATCGATCAGCTATTTATTTGGGGAAATAACAGATACAAAGAGAAATAGAGAGAGAGAGAGAGAAGTCAATGCTGTGATCATAGAAGCTCCCATTAGAATGAATATATGTATTGAACTGATGGACTCCGATAAGTTGTTACATCCTCAGGGAGCCATCTTGAAACAACAAAATTGTGAATTATATTTGTATCTGGCGATTGTCTGTTAATCATAAAAGTGATCCCAAAGAGTTTGGTTACGCTCTAAGAATGATCTAGCAGAAGGGTAGAATCTGGGTAGGGAGTCCAGCAGTCGACTCGCCCCATATTCTCTTTCGGAAAAAACAAAAGCTTTCCCCCCTCCTAACGCCAACGCTTTTAAAGCCCATCAAAGTTTATTTATGAAATTTATAATTTTAGTTTTCGAACGAAACAAATGGGGGAGATGGATGCTTGTATTGTGAATGCAAGAGGAGGGCACATTGTTCAGCTCCAGATCCAGATCGCACTCAGTTGCTCTGCAGGGTCAGCTGCTGCCACTCTTGACTCTCCTGACCATCGCTGCCGCAGTAGTTGAGGACAGTGCTCTTGATGGCCTGGTAGCGCTGGCCCTCGGCTGCGGTCGAGCAGGACGAGTCTGTGCCGATCACGTCCAGCAACTCCCAGTCCAACTGATCGATGAGCATGTCGCACTTGGCCGCGTCGGTGGTGACATGGAAGGTCTGGAAGTACTGCTCCATGTCTGCGAACCATTCGGGGACGCGTTCGCGCTCGAAGAGCGGAGGGCGAAAGATGGCCACGCCAGCAGTCACGTTCTCCAGATCGGCTCCGAACAGGAGGTAGTCAGATTTAGCAGAATTGTTGCCCATTGAAAAGCTGATCTTATCTTGACAAGTACTCGTATCACCAGTTTGCCACGAAGCTCTGTAAGCGACTGATTCGATTTACTGGCTTGGCGATTAGCCTCGCTTTAGGGGCTCTATCGCAGCGAGAGCTCCGTCGTGGATTTATCGAGTGGTGGCGCCCCGTCATCGGCTCATAGGGTACACTTGTTGCACAAATGTTTGTTTGGAAAGTGTAGGCCGACTGAGGGCTGTGATTTGTTGAATCGACTGCAGCCTGCCGTATAACCATATAATAATCTTCAAATGTTAAGATGCACAGGATAATGCACTCCGTTTGTAAGATATACAGATGACTCTCGAAGGATATTTCAAGACGCTGATTAAGAAACAATTTCTTAGACTTCTTTCAGCTCCGTCTGGATATTTTCAAATAGTTATACAACTCTATCGAAAATTCGAAGGCCCTCTCTGACTCCTTCAGATGCAACTCTGTACCATCTAAAACCTGAAGTCTGGTTAGCACTGGTTAGACTCCCTGACACTCTTTCGACACCCCTTCGGACTTATTTCTGGTCGTCTCGTTTGACTGCCAGTGACTTTGGGTGTGACTTTGCCCTAGCCCTGCCCCTGGTCAAACACCGCACAATGATTGAGTTTGGAGTCAAGGCCAAACTGGGAAAAGTTTATCGTTTAACTTTGCTGCCGGCGGAGCTGGGGGTGAGGCAAAGATGAGGTGGTAGCCTGTAACTGTAGCTGTAGCTGGGTCTGGAGCTGGGCCTGAGGATGGCCCAGAAGCAAAGTGAGAGGGTCAACAGCTGGTGCTCGATGGCATTTGTATTCCGAATTGGCCACACTACTGATTCATGGGTTTCATTTTCCGGCGGTTTGTCTGCTGAAAGCGAATTGAATGGCATAAATCAGTTGGCCAGACAATAATGAAAATGCCTTGGCCATATTGCCACACTTATGTGAGTATCTCTGCCCTGTCCTCCCTGCCCCCCTGCCCCCCTGCCACCCTGCTCACCGTTCTGTGTGTGGGGACGAGTATTGTTATGTTGTTCGGATATTCTATATTGTATATTGATATTCATCTCAAAAGTTAATCAAGCAAAAATGTTTGCAACTTTTATTCCAGTCTAGTCCTGCTTTAAGAGCTCTCTCTCACTCTCTCTCTCACTCTCTCTCTCTCTCTCTCTCTCTCTGTACCTCTCTACGTGTCTCATCGCAGCAGCAATCTTTAAGCTTAAATTCGTGTCCAGGGCATAATGGCCCACAGCATAATGGATAGTCGCGTGCAATCCGCTTATAAGTGGGATATTCTGCAGTGGGATACTCTGAGGGATGTTCGGGGTATGGTATCGGTATCCTTGTGCATCCTTGCATGTGCGGTTCGTGTGGCATGTAACAAATGCCGGCTGGATGCCACGCGAGTTATGGGAACGCATCAAGGTGCTGCCTGGCCTGCACTGGCCCTGTCCCTAGCCGCTTGCATGCTGCATAGATTTCAAACCCACAAAGCAACTGAAAATCACTGGAGTCCTGCACCTGGCATCGACCAAATTATTACAGTTTTGTGTCTTTGGGTTTGCCAAAAGGAAAACGAAAGTTCAGACATCTACAAATTATGTTGATGGATGGTACATATTACTCGTACAACTAGGGGCATGTACCTACTAGTGCATGCAGCAATACATGCAACTATTGCAACGCTCAATAAACCTATTGGGGAAGGTGTTAAAATACCTTAAGACGTACATTTAGCTGTGCAAAACACTAGATATTTATTTATAGGATATTATTAAGATACATTGATGCTCTAACCCTTGCATTCCATTAATGTATTACCAAACGTACCGAACACAATTTTCAGCATATAATTTTCAATCAAAATGTTTGGTTTTGGATGTTTTTGCTTTAAACATTTCAAAGATTCAAGATACAGACTACAGATTGCCACGACTCGCTCTTGGTAACAATTTTTACCTAAGTTTTTTCAGAATTTGAGCGTAAAAGTTATTATTTGTTGGGCATATCATGAATAATATACATGGTTCAGTTAGTTCACAATTATCTGGAAGGCCACCGAACCCATGCGATCGCCAGGAGCGGCTTTGTATATGATGTTTTTGGCCCAAGCGCGGCATTCGACGTCCAGCACCTGACCCTGGGGCAGGGACTTGAACTGAACGGGGATGAGGGGACTCAAGTAGCCCGGCTGGTTCAGATAGGGATAGTAGTAGGCGGGGAATCCACGGCCGTGAGAGTAGCTGATGTTATCGAAGTTATCCTTATTGTGGCCCTGATCCAGAGCCTCAACCAGACTTGCCTTGCAGCTTAGCCAGATTTGCTTACGCTCCTCGTAGATCGTTTCGTTGATGTGGGCTTGCAAATCTTCTGGCATCTCCTCGAGCGGCATATCGTACGTTTCGGGCTTCCAGCCGAAGATCCTGTTGAGCTTGATGAATACGCAGGGCTCGTTCGTCTTGTAGCCATAGCTATTTGCCTTTGAGCAGCCCTCAAACGACTCCATATCCACCAAGCACACATCACTGGGTCTGTGGATATCACCGAACTCGCAATTCTTACGGTCCACAGTGGTGTTGTCATACGCGTTGAGGAAATCATCAATGAGCTCGATCCAGTTGTCGTTATTGCTTGGGTTCTTGGAATCAATCGCAATGACCATGGGGCCCTCGACGTGAATGAGCTGCGGGCGCACTGTCAGCCCCGGATTGGCTCCTATTAGGGACCTCTCCAGCTGCAACTTGGGCTCCGTCATGCTGATGCCGTCAAGCAGGACCTGGATGCAAATCCAGAACAAGCTTGCCAGAAAAGCATAGAAGATCACGTAGAATACCATAAACTGGGCCCATGTTTTTGGAGTACGGCCCAGGAAGGTTCCCTTTTCGCGATCGAAGATCATTTGCCCGAGGGTGGGCTTCTTCCGGGGTTCCGGCAGCAGGAATTGCACCCTCTTTCGTCTTTCGCAATTCTTCTGCGAAGCGGCTCTAGCTCCTGCCATTTTTTTTGTGGCTCCTACAACATATATTCCAAAAACGGATATATTTTATAAGTGATATTCTTAAGTTTAAATAAATACTTTAAATACTTTTCTTGGCAGTTGCAGCGACTGTAGCACCTGTAGACCAACTATGACTTTTCTCAACTGACGCTTTCTTCCAACAGCTGCTTTCGCTGACGAACCTTGAGCGCTGTCCACCTCTGGAGAATGGGGATGTCAACTTGTGTTGAACAAACACGAGTTCGCGAAGCGCGGCCAACTTCGCTAGATTGTCCTGCAATTTTGATTGAATTTTGCACACTGGGATATATTGCATGCCATAGACGCACATAAAGTACACAAACACTTTTTAATTAGGCACAAACAAACACAAAGGAATGTCCAAGTGGCCACAAAAATGTGGGATGATTTGCAGTCGCAATGGATTAAAACTCAGGCTGGACTTGGACTTGTATTCGGCTCTCGGCTATACAGCCGGGACGCGTGTTGTTCTCTCGAGATACGATCACCAAATATCATCCACAAAGCGGGCCCGATCCGCGATGATCGGTTGCATGTTAATGAGTCAGCATTCTCTTGTCCCTCAAGCAATCGCCAGAAATTTCCAGGCCGTTTTGCGGAAGAGCGGTCTCAAAGGGTTCTCGAATTCAGTAAACAGAGGGGGAGCACTGCCATACGCATGGGGGTTTCTCGGGAATGGAGTGTGTACAATATATATCCATTATCAAGTGTCAGACCCGTTGTTTACTCAGTCAGCTGCAAATTCCATTTGTCTCCAGATGGAGGGACAATGTCCAGGGTTTGGGGTTGGGTTTGGCTTTGAGTATGGCTTGGGGGTGGACTGGTGCCTGGTGGACTGGTGGACTGGTGGGGCTGGCTGACAGAAGCGTCATCAGCTGTGTGCTGTGTGGCATTCGTACACGTCGTACAATCAATTGCTATTAGTTTTCATTATACTCAAATTACCATAAAATCACATACCACAACCAAAGTTCCTCCTCCAAAGTCCTCCTCTTCCTCTCAGACGCCATCCACGCAGACGTAAGTAAGTCTGCCTCCTTCTTGGACCGCAGGGCGAACACTTTTTCGATATTCATGGAATAATTACACTTTATCAGAACGCGAAGAGCAGCACAGTGTCGAGCACTTCATGAATTAACAACAGCGGAAGGGTGAGTCCTTGTGGTCCTTTGCCTTTGCCTCTGCCTCTGCGTCTGCCATGAGAATCACCTGAAATTAGTCAAGTTTTGTTGCGTTTACGTGGAAATGATCGTAATTAGAATATATTGAGCAATAAAAGTGATTTTTATTATTGAACTTCTGGTACTCATAGGTAGTGGCACTGGCTCTTGTAGTCACATACTCCTACCCATACTCGTACTCGTTTGCAGTTGATTTTGTTGTCCAGGCAAATGGCGAACTTTTCCAGAGGGTGGCCGTTGCCTGGCCAGAAGCCTCTAAAGGAACTTTGCCTCTTTTAGGGCCGCCAGGAGCCGGAGAACTTTGTAAGCTTCACTAATAGTCGGGAGCAAGAGTTCTCGTTCTCTTTGGAAACCTTGAAGCCCTGAACCTGGCCCTGTTCCTGGCCCTGGCCCTGTTCCTGTTCTTGCCTCAAATTAACTTTGATGCCTGACACTGGTGCCATAAAAACGCAGCCCATTTGGCTGGCCCTAAACATCCCGTTTGATAAGGCGGAGGAATGGAATGGAACGGAGGAGTAGGAGGTCACTCCGAGACACTCCGCCGCAGACAGAGTTGCATAGTGCACTGAGCGAAAACAGGAACTACATAATATTACATACATATTACGTATGTATATATGGAAAAACGAATGCAGACTTTCGATGTGTTCGATGTTAGAAACTATACTTTGCTATACGATACTATACTTCATCGCGATGGAGGAAAGTTCTGCCTTACTTAGAAGTGTTCTTTCTCTCAGTGTAGAGGCTGGCAGGGATGTGGATGGATGTCTAGGTCTGGGTCGGAACTAAGTACTCGACATATGGGTGCTTTGTGAGTGTTTGTGTGGGTGTTTTGTCAAGAAGCGAATGTCAATAACCAAAAACAGCTGTCAAAACACAGACGCTCCTCCAGGATGATAATGTAATTTGACAATCAACCGAGTGCCACGGAGGCTCTGGCCTCTGGTCCCTGGACTTTGCACTCTGAACTCCAGGCTCTCCGTGCGACTCCGACGGCTAATGCAACGTAATCGATTGGCATTGTGGCAGGCAGAAGGCAGAGCATTTTCTAGGTAATCGACTTTGATGGCCCCATGCAAGTGAACAGGGATTTAATGAGCAGGCAACTGACATGACTGCCTCATAAATTGCGGGGTCGTCGCCGAGGCTTGGGGCCGCTTTTATGAAAACATTTCCCTTGCCCCATTAAAGTGCGAATGGATAAAAGTCGCTGCCGATGTCCGCCGCTGGCGATGCGGTTGCACTTAGGCCGAAAGGTTCTGGACTACGTCCTCTGTGGCATTGTTTTGTTTTATATGCAACGGGCTTATAAAATTGAATAGAGCCGCGTATTCATAATACTCGTAATGACTGCGCTGTACGGTCCACAACATAACTGCGTATCAGTGTAGGGCTTAATGCGTGCACTTAAATATATAATATAAGAACGTATAAAAAAGTTGCATATAAATGATGGGCTCTGCCTAGGGTGGCTCTGATCGCAGCTTGCTCTTCGGTGACCACTGGCACTGGCACTCGCTGTGGCACTAGCACTCGCTGCGGCACTGGCACACGTACTCGCTCTGAGGTATCGCTAAAGACCAATCGGCTACGAGTAGATCCCAGCCTATGTTCAATTATTAACCTTTTAATTATTTGATTCATTTTCTAAGATTATATCAGCGACCGCCTTTGAAGATTTCATCAGCGATTTCTCTGCCAAAAAACATACTTTATATCCAATGCACTCGTTGCAGAGTTTATGCCGAAGGCACATGCAATTTGGGTCCAGCCCAAAGAACCCCACAATATGTACGTATGGAAAAATGACATTAAAATAATGTTGTGTAAGCGAAAATTGCGTTTACAAATCCAATCTGTGTAGAGGCACGGAGATGCGAAATGCGAAAGGGAATGGGGCATGCTACAGCGGCATGACTGTACCTAGAATGGGCCTCGGAATGGGCGATAGAGAACACAAAATGTTCGAGTTTTTATAGTAACGCCCACATTAAATTACAAGCGGTCAGATAACTTTGCCAATGGCACTTTGATGATGCCGTTTTCCATTTGCCGCCTGGAACCTGAAGCGTGGATGTGGATCTGGACGTAGACGAGGCCGAGAGTGGTGGGGAGTAGTGGCATAATGCGGCGTCTTTTTGAAGATGAACAACTGCAGGCGCTTTCATTTCCACTGTCAGTGTGCGGGGTGCGGAGTGCGGAGTGCTGCGACATGCGGATGGGATGAACAGGAACCGCAGCAAGAGGTTGCGAGCGGGGGTAGTGGTTACCAAGTGGCAGGCCGTTCGCTTTGCGGCTTGCTCCGGACCGGACCACTCTTAGGAACGCTTCCTGTCACTTGTGGCTGGGACAACAGCCTCACATACTCGTACTCGTACTCGCACACACACACAAGAAAATACCAGTACTCAAAGGCAGGAAGAGCGGAAGGAGGGTAGCGTGGAGCGGGAAGAGTTGCAGGCATCGGCTGAAGAGGAAACTTAACAAGCTGGTCAGGCAGGTAAATAGATAAACTTTCACCGCATGCTCGGCAATTTGACTCCGCTCTACATGCATGTACATGCAAGGTGTTGCCCCAACGGAACTGACCAGGAGGCACGGTGAACAGTGCCGTGGCAGTACCTGGACAGAGAATCGGAGGACCGATTGGCGAACACACATTCCAGAGCCATGGACAAACGTTTCAGATTTGCAAAACATTTTATTCAGTCAATGTCACAACAACAACAACAGCAACAGCAACAAGGAGAAAACATCTATGTTGTGAGGCCGCTTCCCTAGATACCCTTGCAGAGCCCAAATCTGGAATCGTTTGGGCTCATTAGGTACCGAAACCTTTCAGGGTTCTGTATAATACAATTCTCTGTTCATAGTTGTTCGATTTATATATGCACGATCGGTAAGTGAAGTCTGTTATATCTATAAGTGATGGCAAAATAACATTTCAGCGGCCGATGTTGATCCGGAATACTCGTACGTAGATCGGTCAAGATTCATTAGGTGGGAGACTTTAAGCCACAGGGAAAATCTGCTGTATCCTCCGCAAGGGTATAGCCACAAAAGCAGCACTGGTTCGTGCATGGGATGGTATAGAAATGGAACGTCTGTGTTTGCGGTGGCCCTGGGATGGCTACTGCTGCTGCTCCTCTTCCCAGAACTGCTCCTTCTCCTGATGCAACTGCAGCACGTCCATCAGTGGCCCATTGTCTGTGTCGCGCATACATAATGAAGCGAACCCGACCCGACCCGAGCTCGGAGCTGGACTGGACTGGACTGGAGTGGACTGGACTGGGCGAGCACTGCATTTACCTGACCTGGCCACCTCATCATCGTCATCATCATCGTCGGTAGAAAGAGTAGGACCCGGAGTTGAGGGCAGCAGAAGCAGAATCATAATAGTCAGGATGCTAGGGAGGTGATTGGCTGCTGCCTGCTGTTTGTTAGCGTTCATTGAGGACTCGAATCGGACTCCGGACTCCTGGGTCTAGGGTCGAGGGTGGAGGGTGGAGGCTCGTGGGTCTCTCGGTGTCGGATTGTGCATTGAAAGAAGCGCAATTAGCACTTCGATTGTGTTCAGTTGACGCGATTTGCATCAAATTAATGTTTTCATCAGCAGACAAACCGACTGCAGGCATGGGGCTCTGAATAGCATTCAGAGCAGCGGCCAACACCGAAAGAAAATAGAAGTTGAATGAAGTCAAAAACAAAGTAAACCGTGTCATTGCTGGAGAGAGTACCTGGATTCGTATTGGCACAATGAAGGCTTTAATACCGCAATGGATCTTTCTAGCTAATTTTGCTTACATTTCCTTGGGGAAACTAGTCACAACTACTTGAAAAACCAAGTATTTCCACTCATTCGTGACTTTGTTTTGTTAGAGAAAAGCAATTTGTTAATGGATTGTTAAGGGTTTTGTTGAAATTTATACGATTTCCTCATGTGATCAGAGGACGGCACGCGAGTCTTCTTTTACGGTTTGTGTCGTCTGAAACCAATCTTCAAAGTACTTTTTCGACTCCTTTGAAACAAATATTTTGGAAGAAAATGTCAAATGTCAAAACACCTCACGAGAACGGCCAACTGATGAATGTACCTTGGTCCCTTTAATGCCCAAAGATGCCTCTTCTCATGGTATATCATATAACAATAACTATTGCAATACCATCCTCTCGAAATTTGTTCTGCAGCGAAGGAACCACTACAGCCTCTGTCGCAGTGACAATGCCTGCTCCTTCATCACCATAACTTGCACTAAGTTGATCGACGTATTCTTGTCTTGGATCGTAGAAAATGATGACACGGAAATGTTCAT